AATTTTAAGTAATTGGCATTTGATTATTCATAGCGGCCAATCTTGAAGTGGGCTTTTGTTCCAGAACAAAGACCATATCGGCAGTTGACAACTGACGAATGCTACGGCTAGAATTGCGCAGTTACGAACAATTTCTTGGAATTGAGGTTTCAAGAAGGCATGCTCCGCAGCAGGGGATTTGAAAAAGTTCACAACTGCCACAAAATCTTCCAACCGGAAACATCCATTAACGCGCTGGACGTCCTGCTGACCCAACGCTACTGCCGCCGTCAACAAAGTTCATTCCTCCCAATAAAGTACGTATATGCACTGCGGCACTTATCGACCGAAAATCTCCCCTGCTGACAGCAAGACGCCATCAAGCCCAATTGAATCAGGCCGCAGCCGTTGCTGCTTTTTTCGATAAGCCATCTACAAAAAAAAAAACTGCATCCAACATGATAACACTCTCAGCACTGCCACGAAAAGAACCGTGAATAAATATTACCAACTGCCGACTGCCTTCGCTGGGTTGAGTGTCGGTCTTATCGCTCGCTGCGGTGCATCATTATCATCCGGCAATCCGGCAGCTACACTGCGAGAACCGCGTCCAAAGAGCGATAAAACCGAGAGAAAAAAAAAATCGAAAAGAATATTCACGGGTGGACTCCATCTCCAGAACAACATGTGAAAAGGGCATACAAACTTTTTGTAAACAAACCTTCCTATGCCCTTTTCTCACCTCCCATATGACACCAACGCAAACCTTTAACATCACCGGGTAGGGGACACTTTCCCCTTCCCGATGATATTGGTGGTTTGCGTGGGCGACCCTCGGTTGGTGAGAATAGGGCCTACAAATGTTTGTTTACAAAAAGCTTGTATGCCCTTTTCACATGTTGTTCTGGATCTGTGCAGGAATCCCAACAGCAGTGAAGGCCTAACACGCTTCCACCTGAAATCCAACACCACGACGACGACGGTGACTCGGAACAACAGTAAGAAGTTATTCAATTTAGCAAGAAAATTTACTTACCTCCAATCTAATTTCAATGAATAATAAGCACTGCAAGGCAGTCGTCGTGGCGCTTTCCATTCGGCGAGTCTCTAACGACAGAAACGCGGCCCTCGTTCCACCGCCCTCTGCCGCTCTCGTGGGACCAACCTGCCGGTTTATTTAGTCCATATTTCGTTTATCTTATCTAAATATTGTTTCTTAATAAAGAGTTATTTTATTTCTGCGGCAGTTTTTTCGTTTTCCATATTCTCTGCCGTGCTCGTTGGCTGGTACCTAGCTGACTGGGTTCGGTGGTGGTTCGCAGGACGTCGTTTTTGCTGGTGCTGCTGCGGTTTCAACCGGTATTCCCTCGCTGGAACCACAGTTTTGAGGGGTTTTTGTTTTTCGAGCTGCAGACTTTGGAGGGAACTTTTTTGTTCTGCAGTAGAGAAGTCAGCAGGAAAAATGGCCTACGTATTGCGACATTTTGAGAATGCGTGCTGAGCCGAAATTTAAAGCTCAGTTTGGATTTGTTTGCTCGATGGAGGGATTCCATTTAATGTCGTTTTGACGGTCAGTCTGGAGCAATCGTAGCATTTACCCCAGAATTAGGGGTATCATCCGGTATTATCGCTACTGTCCGCATTTTTAATTTTAAAATCAAATATAAACAGCCTCAAACATCCACATGTGGTTCAAAGCGAGTAGGAGTGATAGATAAAGAGAGCCATGTAAAATGGATCTGCCTCGAATTCTAGAGCTAATGGAGTACCAGTAGCTCCACAACTCGGAGCAAAACCGATCAAATTGACACAGCTTACTATATGGATCCACTCCCACTTAATCCAAACCTCATTTGGATGTTTAAGGCTAATAAAATTTAAATGCGAATAGTAGCTGAATTACCGAGAAAAACTTCTAATGATTTAGAAGTTTTAACACCAAATTTTTGACATAGGATTACGTCGTTCGGCAACATATTGGGTGCAATTAAAAAAAAAACCTAAATCAACCGTTACGAAAAGTGGTCAGGTTTTGACCACTTGTAACTATGTCAACAACGAATGGATTTTAATTCTAAACAAACCACTCGAATGGAAATTTTTCTACGAATCTGTTAAAATGAAAACTTCATCAAGTTTCAATAAAAAATTACACAAATATCCAACTGTTGCAATGGTGTTCAAAATTATCACCGATTGCCTGCAAAAAAAAAACAGAATTCCTTACAACAGATTTCAAAATCGAATTTCATCCGGTCTCGCCGAACGGTGCTTATTCAATTACCGTGTGTCGTGGTGTCCGGCAGGTCGTCATCATCAGCAGCAGCAGAAGTGCTTTCAGCACGTGGCGTTGAACATTGTTCTCCAGTACTCAACGAAAGGCTGCCCACATGAGCGTCCATTCACCGAAGAAGGAGAAAGAAGCGGCACCGCCACTGATCGGAATCAGTAGCTTTTCGTGAGCCGCTGTGAGCAATCTATTCCAAGCTCGTCACCCTCGTTCCAAACAACATAAGTTTGCTAGCTTGATCTGTGTTGAACACCCTAATAGCTTAGCATTACTCAACCATCACGTAAAAGCGGTTCTTTTTAGGACCACCATACATTATTGTTGTTTAAGAGTAAATTTCCATTGAACGTTCACTCATCTTGCTGCCAGCCACGTCACCCCCAAAGCTTTTTGATAATGGACCCAAAACCAAATATTTATGGTCAAATGCGTAATCGAGCGCAGCTTAGCACCAAACGGAATGTTATTATTACTGATGGCCAGAGTTGTGACCTATCACAATCACGATCGCCAAACAGCTGATGGTAGTAACGCTTTGTACATTCCTATGAATGTGCTCGTCAAAGCTCTCCCCATGACCATCCATCAAGTTGACGAAAGAAGTAAAAAGCAACTGGTGAATGTCGTCTTCTATTGTGATCCATCACCGATCTGGTCTGTGCTCGTTTTGAAGCAGTTGCTGCTTTGCTTGCTTATTTGAGTGTGTTGGTGAGTGTTCGGGAGAAAACTTTCGTAGCGGGATGAGAAAGAAACACCTCTCTGTTAGCAGGTTACTCAACGCAGCTTCAAAGCTGAAAATTTATTTCGGGGTTAGCTTGGGTCAAATCGTTTAAAGAAACTTACATTTTGGTGCCTTTATAAATTCTTCCACGCTAAATTTCTCCAACAATCCTTCGTGCAAATCACTGCTATCAAAATAGTTTAATTAAATATAAGTATTTCATCTTCCACTAATTCAATTACCTTTGTTGACTACAAACTACAAAGCCGTTTTATTAATATTAATTGAAACAAAGTAATGAACGCACTAACTCTTTCCACTAAATTCAATAGATTTTTCTGTATTGTTTACTTTCCTTTCTCTTTTCCTTTCACCTGACAGTTCCCATGACAGTTCAGCATGACAGCTGCGGTTAACGCTCGTCCACACATTCGTAACGGGTGTAACCGGGACTCACTTGGTAGCCGGCGGCGACTGCCCTGTGAGTTCGCCAACATTCCCCCGCCCGTGTAGTTCCGGTTCGCTGGAACTCTCATCTTCTGGCTCTCCAGATGATTTCTGAATGTCCAGCAAAGCAAGCTTGGTTGCCGGTCGGCTGAACACCCCCCTGGAAGTGTGCACCACTACTCTTCGAACTTGACCATCCTTTCCTGACACTACATCCGTGATCCTCCCTCGCAGCCATCCGTTGCGCTTGCCTTCGTCGACCACGACCACCAAGTCACCGGGTTTCAAAGGCTTTAACGGTCGGAACCACTTGGTGCGTCGGGTAAGTGTAGGTAAATATTCGTGTACCCAGCGGCTCCAGAAAGTATCAACTAGATTCTGGGCAAGCTTCCAGCTGTCCCGTAGACTTGCGTGGTCTTGCACCAGATCCCGGCTAGGTTGGTTGATGCCTTGCGTCCCGTAGACCAAGAAGTGGTTGGGCGTGAGAGCCTCTTGCTCCGAATGATCCAAGGGGATATAGGTTAGCGGTCTCGAGTTAACTATCGACTCTGCTTCGAGCGCGACGGTTTCCAGGACCTCGTCACTGGGGTGATGTGGATGGTCTGCGATTGCCGCCATTGCCACCTTCACTGACCTGACCATGCGCTCCCACGGTCCTCCCATATGGGGCGCTAGGGGTGGATTGAATAGCCATCTCGTGCTCACATTTGTGAATGTCACACTACAGTGTTCGTTGATGGGTTTCAGCTGCTCCTTCAGCAAGTTGCTGGCTCCCACAAAGTTGGTCCCGTTGTCTGAGCAAAACGTTGCCGGGGAGTCCCGACGTGCCACAAACCTTCTTATGGCCATCACGCACGACTGAGTGGACAGGCTGTGGACGATCTCGAGATGAACTGCTCTGATGGACAGGCACGTGAAGAGCGCTACCCAACGCTTGACTAAGCTGCGACCTTGTTTTACGAAGACGGGCCCGAAGTAGTCCACCCCAGTGTGCGTGAATGGCCGTATGAAAGCGGTCAACCGGATTTCTGGAAGAGGCGCCATGATTGGTGCCCGAGGTGCTGCCTTCTGGATTCGACAATATTGGCACTGCTTGGCTACCTTTGCAATCACTGCGCGAAGTTGTGGAATCCGGAAACGCTGTCGTATCTCGTTGACTACCGTTTCGTTGTTCCCATGTAGAAAACGGACATGATAGTGTTCCACGAGCAACTCCGTCACTCGATGATCCTTCGGGAGGAAGATTGGATACCTCACATCCTTTGTTACCATTGGTGCAGCTATTATTCGACTATTCATCCGAAGAACTCCATCGTCGTCCAGCATCGGAGTCATCGTGTACAACGCGCTCGATCCTGCTATCTGCTTCGGTTCCGCGTCCGGGTGCTCTTTGTTGTAACTGAGCGTGGCGTATTCATCCGGATATTCTTGCTTCTGCACCTGCTGCCAGATCAGAGTTTCGGCCCTCCGCAACTCTTCTTGCGTAAGTGGACCCTTTGCATGCATACCCAGGAACACCTTTGTCGCACGAACAACGTATCCGGTCGTCCGCTGTAGCCTCGATCACTTGGAGAATCGTTGAAAATTTATGACCGGCGGTGGTGTGACGCGATGATGTAGAAATACCGTTCGCAACTCCTCTGCCGTCGAAAAATCTTCCGAAATGCCCTTTCGCCAGTTCTCGTCCGGTTTCATCAGGAAAGCCGGTCCTACATACCACCAGTCGTCGGGTCTGAAACTGGGTCCGTCCCTCCACTTCGTTGCTTGATCGGCTACGTTCACTTTTGATTGTACCTTTCGCCACTCGTCCACGGTAGTCGTGCTCAGAATTTCTCCTACCCGGAAGCCGACGAATTGATGATATCGTCGTGTCTCGGATTTCAACCACGCAAGGACGGTCGTCGAGTCTGACCAGAGGTATCGAGCAGCCACTGGTATCGTCAGCGCCTTACAAATGTTGTCCAGCAGTCGGGAGCCGATTAAGGCTGCCTGCAATTCTAGCCTCGGTATTGAGAGGGGTTTTAACGGCGCTACCTTAGTCTTCGCGGCTATCAGCGTGCATCGAGGCATCCCATTGCACATACTCCGAAGATAAGCAACACAGGCGTACGCGTTCTCGCTTGCATCGACAAAGACGTGAATCTGCGAATCGTTCGGTGTAGCTCCGGTTGCCGAGAAGAAACATCTGGGGACTTTGACTTCACTTATATTCACCAGTAATCCGATCCACTGGCGCCAGTTTTCCAGTATTTCACCACTAATCGTTTTGTCCCAGCCCGATCCAGTCCTCCAGATTCGCTGCATGAGTATCTTTCCGTGAACCGAAAAGTGTGCCACCAGTCCTAACGGATCAAACAAAGACATGATCGTCCGTAGGACTTGACGTTTGGTAGGTGCATCCTGACTCTTTACAATGTTTCGAACTTCCTCCTTCAGACTGACCTCGAAACTGAAAACGTCTTCTGATGGTCTCCATACCATACCAAGCACTCTCTCTACATCCGAATCCAGGTTGAGGGACTTCTGCAGAACTTTGCTGGTTTCTCCTATGCGCTCGAGCACTTCTGAGGAGTTCGAAGAAAAGTCTCGAATCTCCATCCCAGCCTTAGAATGCACATGTTTCACTTCCTCTATCAGCTCTACCGCTTCTTCTACCGTCTCCACACTGTCCAGGTAGTCGTCAACGTAGTGGTTTTCGATTATGGCTTTGGCTGCGCCAGGGAATTGGGCCGCGTACTCCTCTGCATTCCTGTTTTTCAGATACTGTGCGATGCACGGGGAGCACGCTGCGCCAAATGTAGCAACATCCATCACGAAAATCTGCGGTGGCTGCCTAGGGCACTCTCGGAATACGAACCTCTGCGCCTGTTTGTCCCTTTTCCGGATCAGGAATTGGTGGAACATTTCCTTTATGTCTCCACTGAATGCCACGCGCTTCTGCCGGAAACGCAGTAGAACAGCAGGTAGAGCGGTCAGCATGTCTGGCCCTTTTAGCATTAGATCGTTGAAAGAAACGCCGTTCACTCGGGCTGCAGCATCCCAAATCAGTCGTACCTTTCCTGGCTTATTAGGGTTCCTTACTACCCCGAGTGGCAGGTACCAGACGCGTCCCGGTTCCGTAGACTCCAGTTCAGCTGCAGTTATGCGATGAGCGTACCCCTTTTCGAGATACTCTGCGATCTGTCCCCTTACCTTCCCGTCGAGGTAGGAATCCTTGGACAACTTCCTCTCGAGCGCTTCCATTCTACGCACTGCCATTGGGTAGCTATTTGGAAGGCATGGATCATCGTTTCGCCATAGAAGTCCGGTCTCCAATCTTCCGTCAACTCTTCGAGTGGTTTCCTGGAGAATCTTCAAGGCACGCTTGTCTTCCTCCGATTGAGGACTGTGCTTGATGTTTGCCTCGTCTACTGCCAGAAACTGCCTGAAAAGGTCGTGAAGTTCTGTCTCTTTTTCGCATTGCTCCACGTGAGCATTCACGTACTCCACAAGACTACTTTGGATAGCGTGTCGTCCGTAAATGCACCAACCCAGTCGAGTTTTTGCTGCAACCAACTCTCCAGTACCACTTTCTCGACTCTTGAGTGCACTAATCAGCTTAGCGTTGTCTACTCCGATTATCAGTTGAGGTGCGACATCTGCGTATCCACGCAGTGGCAGTTTCCTCAGATGGGGATGCACTTCGCAGAGCTCCTCGTAATCGACAGTCTGACTGGGTAGTTTCAACTGTTCTACCGTCCTTGCTCTCAACGGGAAACTCTTCTCCTCGCTCCGTCCTGAGATGGTTATCTGAATACGTTGCGATCCATTCTCGATTCTTTTCACACTACCCGTCCAGCACAGACACAACGGTTCACTGGGCCCTTTTACTCCTAGCACGTTCGCCACTTCCGCTTCCAACATGGTTGATGAAGATCCGTCGTCGAGGAACGCGTACACGTCCACGCTCTTCCCGTTTCCGTACAGTGTCACAGGAAGATAGCGCAGCAACGCAGATGAAGTTAGGGAGTGATGATGCTGGTGCGCGACGTTTCTGTTGGTAGATGTTGATGGTGATGGTGTAGTTGACTCTGGTTTCCTCGAGTGCAGCAGAGGATGGTGACGCATGTGACAGTCTCCGACTCCACACTCTTGCTTGGAGCGACATGGCCATGATCGATGAGGGACTAAGCATAGCCGACACAATCCTTTCTGCCGCATTACCTTCCACCGTTCGTCTATATTCAGCTTCTTGAACTCAGGGCACTCAGCGATACGATGGTCCGATTTTCCGCAGTGTAAACAGGGCTTGCTAACTGGGCTGATGACTTCCTTTTGACCAGTGCTGCTTTCTGCAGGTCCCGTTGTTGTCGACGCTTGTTGATGCACGAACAGCTTCTCCTTCGTAGGTTTTTCCCGCCTACTTTTCTCCAACTTTCCCGAACTCTGAAATCCCAGATCTACGTGTAGAGTTACATCACTTGCCATCATTACAAGCTCCTTCATGAAGTCGTTGAATGCGGCCAAGTTGACAGTATAGTAGCTGCGTTTGTAGGATGCCCATTGTAGCTTCAGGTTCGGTGGAAGTCTATCTACCATCTCTTGTAGAAGCATAGGGTTACTAATATGCTGCTGTTGGTCCGCCAGAATCATGTGCTCAACTAGATTTTCCACCCCCATACCAAACTTGATCAAGGTTTTGAGATCATCGCCACTGGGAGAAGGAATTTCGCGCATCCGCCTCAGAAGTGAAAGGATGATAACTTCTGGCCTTCCGTAGAGTCTTTGCAGTGTAGTCATAACGTGAGGGACTGACTCCGGTATCAGCAAACGGCTGCGAACACTTTCCAAAGCATGACCGCGAAGGCACCGTTGAAGTCTTGCCAAATTCTCGGCATCATTGTATCCGCACGCTTCAGTAGAATTCCGGAAGGAGCTGAAGAACAGCGGCCAATCCTGCGGATCTCCAGTGAATACGGGTAGCTCTCGTGGTATGACTTGACGAGCGGCTAGTTGTTCGGCTGTAGGTCCTGCTGCGCATCGTGGACGAACTGGATTAGGAACATTCTGCTGCACTGGCACTGACTGATCGTTCTGGATCCCCGACGCGAACGGCTGCTCAGGCCCCGGTGGTAGCTCTGGCGCCATCGAGTTTGGTACGCGATACTGCTGACGCCCCGACGGTGGCAAAAACACCGATGACGTTGGTACCTGAAACGTCTGGTGCCCCGGCGGTGGCACAAACACTGACGAAGTTGGTACTTGGTACTGCTGATGCCCCGGCGGTGGCAAAAGCCCCGATGAGCTCGGCGCAGGGAATTGTTGTTGCTCCGGCTGCAGCAAGTACTCCACTGAATGTCGGTAACCACCAGAATGTTGATAACCACATGACATGGGTTTTGTGTTTTGCCCTTGATTCAAAACTGTCGACTGCTCACGTCTGTTATCCCTCAGAAATTCTGGATGTTGTGGTTGGCGATACAGGTTAGTTCCCTGCTGCTGTTGAGAACTCTGGACCGTCCCCTGATGTGGGACCGATGACCATGTATTGGGTACGAAATGCTGGGTTTGTTCCATCGGTGGCTGCTGCTCGATTGGAATCGTACACAAACTTGGATCGGTTGGTAATCTCGGTGGAGGCAATGTTGGTTTCCCCATAAAACTTTCGTATCCGACTGGTTGGTTCACCGACTGTTTCCACTGGGTACGTTGGTCAAGGCGTGGCTGCTGCATTGACGACTGCAGATTCGATCTTGTATACTGCTTGTGCCCCGACGATGGCAGAAGCACCGACGAATTCGGCTCGATGACTTGCTTGTGCCTCGACGGTGGCAGAAACACCGACGCATTTGATTCGATACCCAGCTTTTGCCCCGACGGTGGCAGAAGCACCGATTGATTCACTTCGAAAAACTGCTCGTGCCCCGACGGTGGCAGAAGCACCGACGAGTTTGACATTGTCTGTCGGATGTTCCCTGGCGGCAGCACAGGGGCCGACGTATTGGGCCCGGGGGGAGGCTCGCGTTCTTGCGGCGATGCATGTGGGTGAGGAGGTTGGGAGAACTGGCCCTGACTAACAATGTGTAGACCTACTGACTCACTCTGACTTTCATTCCTACCCATAGCCCCTATCTGACTGGTTTGATGATCTGATATTGGTACTACGAGCGATTGTTTTGGTGTGCTAGTTTGCACAACCTCAACTATAGGTGGCAATCCTACCTTTAAATTAGTATTACTTCTCACCTGGTTCGCCGCTGCAAACAAACCTGTACTGGTGGGTGTACCGAAGTATACTTGCGTACCATTCATGTACGACATCGTATCTGCGACGCTCGTCAACGAAGAAGCAACTGGCTCCGACTGTGTACCTATAATGGGCTGGGTCTCTCTCTGCGTCTGCACTGACATCCTGATGTTGTTGGTGGCGGTAGGGTTTTCCGAACCAGTTCGATCGCCATCAGTCGCATTAACTGTCGATACGATAGCTTCCGGAAACGAAACATCCACCTGGGATCCGGTGGGAACTGGAACTGCATCTTCCTGCTGATTTACGACGTTGTTTGTCGACGTTTGTACCGGCACTTGATTCCCGGTCGGTTCACTGAAAACTCCTTCCTGCTGCAATACTGCACTCTCGCACGTTGACGCAATAACTGCTTCTCCCGGCTGGGACGAACCTATGGCTTCGGCAACGTCACTTCCTGTAGGGGTTTTTCTTGTCGAGCCGAGCTGACTTCCAGACTGGTTTCGTTCTACAGTATCCGTGTGTGTACGAGTGGCAACAGCGTTTGTCGACGTGGTAGTTTGTTGACCCTCTGTCTGACTTGCTGCTCCAATCCACCTACTTGTGTTCTCACGGATAATCCTAGAGCTTACTCTGCTCCTCACGCTGCGATTCTCTTCTTCTTCACATAGTTGAGCTTCGAGCGCATCGAAACGTTGCTTCCCAAAATCAGCTTCTACCTGTCGTCGCAATCGCTGAAACTTTTCAGCATCCTCCAGCTCCTACAACCGATTTTCCCGTTCCGAATCCAGCTGCTGCAACCGCAGCGTCAATCGCGCTGCACTGAAACTACTTCCAGACGTCGTGCGGGAACGTCTACTGGTTCGGTGTGAAGAAACGGTGATGACATCTTCATTTTCGACGCACTTCCTGCAGGTGAAACTTCGATCAACATCGGCAATCGAATCACCCACTTCTGCGCACGAAAAGTGCGCATATCCGTCGCACTTGTCACACTGAACCAAGTTGTCGACGTTGTCCGGCCGATCGCACATCATGCAGTGGTTTTCCGGATTCATCTTTCCGGATCTCTAGTCACGCAGCGAAAACAACCTCAACTCACCAAATCAACCACAAAATCTTTGAAGATTTGTTCGGGAGAAAACTTTCGTAGCGGGATGAGAAAGAAACACCTCTCTGTTAGCAGGTTACTCAACGCAGCTTCAAAGCTGAAAATTTATTTCGGGGTTAGCTTGGGTCAAATCGTTTAAAGAAACTTACATTTTGGTGCCTTTATAAATTCTTCCACGCTAAATTTCTCCAACAATCCTTCGTGCAAATCACTGCTATCAAAATAGTTTGATTAAATATAAGTATTTCATCTTCCACTAATTCAATTACCTTTGTTGACTACAAACTACAAAGCCGTTTTATTAATATTAATTGAAACAAAGTAATGAACGCACTAACTCTTTCCACTAAATTCAATAGATTTTTCTGTATTGTTTACTTTCTTTTCTCTTTTCCTTTCACCTGACAGTTCCCATGACAGTTCAGCATGACAGCTGCGGTTAACGCTCGTCCACACATTCGTAACGGGTGTAACCGGGACTCACTTGGTAGCCGGCGGCGACTGCCCTGTGAGTTCGCCAACAGTGAGTGAGCCTTCGTTTCATGTTGCCTGCTTTGTTTGTATTTAACACACACAGTCGTGCCTGCCGAGACGAACTTGGAATGCGTAGGCATTGTGTTCATTTTCTTCTGTCGTTTTGCTTTTTCTCATGATCGTACTGCAGAAGTCTTCACAGTTTTCGTTGTGCTTTTCATCATCAGCAGCGAGTGTAGCGTTTTGCTTGTGAGCAGCGACCATTACTGGTGATTGTTGTTTGTCATGGCTCTAACTCTCACTGTGTGACAAAACGATCTGTCAGCGATAGTCGGTTGGTGCGAAGACGAGTGTCACGTGAGTGTCATGATATTTTGCATCACTGCTGATGGCTTCCAAATTTATTTACCTTTCCGTATGTACCGTAAGATTTGATAAAGAGAAACCAATCGTTGACTTACTTACTCAACGATCCTGCGCACCTCTAGGGGTGCAAAGGACCTTTGTGAAAGATTTCCATCGTGGGCTATTACTAGCTTTGGCCTTGGCCTGTGCCCAAGTCAAATTTCGGTCAACGTTCTTAATTTCACTGTTTAGGCTCCGCCGCCACGAGCCTCTGAGTCTGCCTCTGCTGCGATGTCCTGCTGGATTCCAGTCTAGTGCTTGCTTGCAGATATCGTTTCCGCTCCGTCGTAGTGTGTGGCCGACCCAGCTCCACTTCCGTTCTCGAATTTCTGTCTTTATCGACTTCTGATGGCACAAACGATGAAACTCGGAATTTGAGATCCAATTGTGGGGCCACCAGGCACGAATTATGTACCGCAGGCAACGGTTGATAAACACCTGCAGCTTCTGAGTATTCTCCGCTGTGTTTCACACCATGTTTCACTGGCGTATAACAGCACAGACTTCATGTTCGAGTTGAAAATTCGGATTTTGGTGCGTCGACTAATCTGATTCGCTCTCCATAAATTTCGCAAACTGGCAAAAGCAGCCCTCGGCTTCTTAATCCGTGCACCTATGTCGCTCTTGGTGTCAACGTCCGACCGTATCTGACTGCCAAGATATTGGAAGCTTTCGACTTTCTCCACTGCCTGCCCAGCTACCGTGAAATTGGAATGGTTTTCCGTGTTGACATCCAACGATTTGGTATTGTTGTCGTTGATGGTTAGACCTGCTTCAGAGGAGCGTTCCACAAGGTCGTCGAGCTTACTCTGCATGTCAAAGCACCGTTGTGCTAATAACGCAACATCATCATCCAAATCGAAGTCGTTGAGATGCTCCATAGTAATAGGCTGCCACAGAAACCCACGTTTCGGTACACGGCCAACGGCTCCAACCATGATCTCGTCGATTACGATGAGGAACAGTAGCGGTGATAATATACATCCTTGCCTCACACCCGCGATTACCCGAATCGGGTCAGACAAAGCTCCGTTGTGCAACACTCTGCATGAGAAAGCTTCGTACTGCGCTTCGATGAGGTTGACGATCTTATCAGGAACTCCCTTGCGTCTCAGAGCGCCCCACACGTGGCCCGGCGTGGTTTAGTCGGTCGAATGCTTTGAATACCAAGTACAGGGACTCTTGGAACTCATTGACCTGCTCCAAGATGATGCGGCGCGCGACAATATGGTCCACACGGGATCATCCAGCACGGAATCCTGCCTGCTGTCGTCGGAGAGTCGCGTCGATCTTCTCCTGTATCCGATTGAGGATAACTTTACACGGAACTTTGAGAACAATACAAAGTTACATGATGCCTCGCCAGTTGTCGCATACAGTTGGATCCCCCTTCTTGGGGACTTTTACCAAGACGCCCTGTATCCAGTCGGCTGGAAAAGTCGCGGTGTCCCAGATATTGACGAATAGTTGATGCAACATTTGTGAGGATAGCATCAGATAGGTCAGTTTTGAGCATCTCTGCTGATATGCGATCGACCCCCGGGGCTTTGTTGGACTTTATACTTTGGATGGCTGCTTCTATCTCCTGCAATGATTGAGCTTCATTGTTGACGGTAGTAACGCGCCTCACCCTTGGCGGATCATGCCGAGATGTTGATGGTTGGTTGACCGTTGAAACTTCGAGAAGTTGTTCAAAGTGCTCAAACCAACGTTTCAACTGGTCAGTGGGGTCGGTGAGCAACTGTTCAGTCGCGTCTTTCTCAGGCATCCTTGGGTTCATACTTGCCCCGCTCAGGCGTCGTGAAACATCATAGAGAAGGCGGATATCGCCAGTTGCTGCGGCTTTCTCCCCTTCATCAGCCAGGGAGTCCACCCACGCTCGCTTGTCCCCTATACAGGAACGCTTAACTTCTCTCTCTCTAGAGCCGAATACCGCTGACGGGCCTCGTTCTTGGCTCCTCGGGTCCTTGCTCGCTCTATCGTAGCTTTTGCTTATCTCCGCTCCTCGATCTTCCTCCAGGTTCCATCGGTGATCCACTCCTTCCTCTGAGTGCGCAGCTCACCCAGGTTGTTCTCGCTTGTTTCAATAAAGGCATTCTTGATGCTCGACCACTGTTCTTCTACGCTGCCACCTTCCGGAATATTATCTGTGCGAGCCTCGACCCAAGCGGCACACTTCCATCGAAATAAGTGGCTGCAACTTGGTTGTGACTGGAATAGGTTGCACACAAGTAACCACAATTGTGCAGTAACAAATGTGCTGCTAGGGGAGTTCTTCGACGAACGATCTCTTCACTGCTGGGTCTTCCAGTGGGCGTGTGTTGAATCTCCGCCCGAGTCTCTCCTCCCACCGTTGAACCCATGCAATGCGTAGGCGGATCTCACCAACCAGGAGATGATGATCAGACGCAATGTCAGCGCTGCGTTTATTCCGAACATCAAGAAGGCTCCGTCTCCATTTTCGGCTGATGCGGATGAGGTCGATTTGGTTCTCTGTATATCCATCACGGGAGACCCATGTGACTTTATGCATTGCGGGCGATGGGGGAAGAGCGAACCCCCGATCACCATGTCGTTGTTGCCACAAAACTCTGCAAACAGCTCGCCGTTCTCGCTCATATCTCCGAGACCATGGCGTCTCATAATGCGCTCATAGTCCGAGTTGTCGGAGTCGATCTTCACATTGAAGTCGCCTGTGTAGATCTTGATATCACCTCTTGG